TTCATCATTGCTCCAAGCCTCCAAGAATGAGTGTGAAAAGGCCACTTGGTAGGGCAGAGTACTCGTTGGGCCTTGAGAGTCACAAAACAACCATTCATGGCTTTACACGTAAGCACCGTAGTTGCAAGGGTTGGTCGATGGTCAACGTCAACCACTGTTTTCTATTGATATATTTTTGGTTTTAGGGTTTCCTACTTGTTTGGGTGAGGTCCACTTCGCGGACAGCAACAATCCATGGGGGTATGCATGCATGGACTTTCTGAATCCGAAAGAGTGCTCTCACCAGCATCCACTTGCTTTCCTACTTTTCTTGGCATGAGTCAATTTCTTTCTTTCCATAATTATCAGCTTTTATTAGGAGATAAATGGGGGTGAACGCACGAAATTCAGGATGTGAGTGTGACCTACATGCATGAATTGATTATCATTTTCCAAATATTTTTATACAACTCGCACGAAATGGTGCAATAAAAAGTGAGTTATTAAACTCATTCATTTGTAAATCAAGTATAAAGATTAAACTTTAAGTGATTAGTGATTACATATATAACGTTTACCAGAAATAGGTTTTGCATGGAGACCATTTCCCGTTGGATTGGTTGATTAGTCGTCTTAATTTTGAACAAAAATGAGTGCAAACACCAATATTTGTAAAAGATTAACTAATTATTTATTCTCCGTAAATAACTGATGGAGTGATGTGCAGCAAATTTGGTAAAAGGTAAGAAGCCATTCAAGGGATGTGACAACATCGCAGTAGAGAGCATCTATTTCTGGATTAGCCATGAAATATGAATGGGGGCGAAGAAAGTTATTATATTTGGAAGTAGGGTTGGGGACATGGGGTGGTTGGGGAATTATTGGTTTTGAAACAATAATTTGGGTTCCAACCGCATAATAATAAGTTCATGAAGTTTATGTTAATGCCCATGCTTCGCAGAGAAAAATCAGCCACAAGAAGTGCAGATGAGCTGCAGTTAATGGTCCTAAAAGATCGACGAACAAATGGATTGACCACACCATTGTCTTTTACAGTTATATTGATGGGCAATCCATTGGCTTTTACTCAGAATTGTATTATAAATATTTGAGTTTCCAGTGGCTTCTCTGTTAACAGAAATGAAGAGTTGCAGAAAGAGAATGTACCGAAGAAGAAGAGAGAAAAAGGAATAAGAGAGAGAGACAGTAATTGGTTACATTGATACTGAATTGATTTTTACAACTCTGAGAATACAATTTATATAGCCATCATGACTAGCTTGCAGCCTAAGCTATTTAACTAACTAATTTGATAACAACCTAACTAACTATTGCTGAGCTGGAATGATATATTCAACATCCCCCCTCAATCTCAACTGGGATGTCCAGTTTGAGATTGTACGAGTGCTTGAGAAATGCAGAATAATGAAATCCTTCTTGGTGTACAATCACAAAAATCAAGAACCACAACCCTCTTGGGCAATCGGCCTTCAATGAAGAAAGGGAACAAGAACTGCACTCCGGCAATCGGCCTTAATGGAGTTGCACACAATAACAACAAACAAAACTTTTTAAGAACGTTACTCCGGCTATCGGCCTTTAAGGAGTAACACACAATATCTGAGACAGAACTTTTCACTCCGGCTATCGGCCTTGTGGAGGAAACAAGCTTTATACTCCAGCAATCGGCCTTGAAGGAGCACAAGATACAATATCACAGAAAACCCAATAACAGACAACCTTTTAGACAACATAAAATCCCGGCAATCGGCCTTAGGAAGTGCAAGAAACACAATCAATCAAGAAACAAACTAAGCAATCAGAAAGAAATGGCTATCGGCCTTTTTAATTCTTTCAAACAACACTCTTTGGCAATCGGCCTTGTTCGAGTGCACATATCACAGTTGTAAGGAATGGCAATCGGCCTTTGTATTCCTTCAACAAACTCACAAAAATGGCTATCGGCCTTTAACAAGAAACGGACATACCAAAAAACTCCATCGAAGAGACAACGTTTCAGTGCGGCATTTAATCAAACATATGGAGTGCATAATCAAGAAACAGAACCTGAGACTTAAGTACACGATCAAAGAACCCCATCATAAAGACACCAACACATCAGCAGAAGAACAATCACAGCAATCCTATGCAATCACAGCGGAAGAGCAACCTCGAAGATCGAAACCCTCGGCGATGATACCATGTTAACAGAAATGAAGAGTTGCAGAAAGAGAATGTACCGAAGAAGAAGAGAGAAAAGGGAATAAGAGAGAGAGACAGTAATTGGTTACATTGATACTGAATTGATTTTTACAACTCTGAGAATACAATTTATATAGCCATCATGACTAGCTTGCAGCCTAAGCTATTTAACTAACTAATTTGATAACAACCTAACTAACTATTGTTGAGCTGGAATGATATATTCAACATTCTCTTCATATAATATGTAAAGAGATTTTTTAGGTTGTGGTTAATCGCATTCAAAGAAAATGCGGCTTTTACTCAGAATTTTATTATAAATATATGAGTTTCCAGTTGCATCTCTTCATATATATGTAAGGAGATTTTTTAGGTTGTGGTTAATTGCATCAAAGAAAATGTGGGCACGTTCGATATGCCATTTATATGAAGTACCAAAGAGTTCCGTTTTCGCTACCTAGGATCTATCTGGTAAAAAAAGAGAAAGTTGGATGGAGACCTCAACCATAGAATGCAAGCTGGATGGATGAAATGGAATAGTGCATCGGGTGTGTTGTGCGACTATCCTATACCACTAAAGCTCAAGATTTTATTTTTATAGGATGGCAATAAGGCCATCAATACTTTATGGCACGGAATGTTGAGCGGTGAAGCATCAACACTTACACAAAATGAGTGTAGCGGAGATGAAAAAGCTTCGTTGGATGTGTGGGCACACGAGAAAGGATATGATTAGGAATGAGGATATCCAAGGTAAAGTAGGAGTAGCCGAAATTGAAGGAAATGTGAGAGAAAATTGGTTAAGGTGGTTTGGACATGTGAAACGAAGGCCTACAGACGCTTTGGTTAGAAGATGCAATTACGAGACAGAGGTTCAGACCAAAGGGGTAGAAGAAGAGCTAGGAAAACTTGGAAAGAGACTCTAAGAAAAGACTTGGAGTACTTGGATCTAACAGAAGACGTGGCACATAACTGAGTGCAATGACGTTCTAGGATTCATACAGCCAACCCCACTTAGTGAGGTAAGGCTTTGTTGTTGTTGTTGTTGTACCATCGACATAACGAAATTACAATTGTCAAAATGTGTTCAATATAATTATTAGTATGTCAACGTTGTTGTGTTATAAGTGCAGTTAACTGCAAAGTAGAATGATTAGATACACACACACATACACATATATACATATTCTTTAAGGGAAGGGATCCCCATTTTATTTTTTTTCAAAAAGTAGACAGTTCAGATCATCGATGTGGAATGATTCCCACAACTAAACCCTATTTAAAAAAAATTAAGAATCCATTCTCTTAAAGGGCCTACACACACACACACACAAAAGATCCTACAATTTTGTGCCCAGAAAGAGAGGGCAAGGTAACTATCTCATAATTCTCATTGCATGCTATATTTGAGTTGAGATTTTGAAAGTGAAAGACCATCGGTCGGTACCTTGGGTTTATATATATATATATGAAACCTTTAAGGGGGTGTCCTTTTCTTTTTATAAAAATAGGGATTAGTTGTAGGGTCCACATCATATCTAACTTTAACGATCCAAACCTTTATCTAACTTTAATGATCCAAACCGTCTATTTTTCAAGTTGCACCTCATAGATCATCCTTGCAAAATATTAGCCAAATCGGAAATGTTAAGACATCTAATTGAGTTCAAAGAAATTAACGAATACTTTGTTATATAAGAAACAATGAAATTTTATCTTGATAATTAAATAGGCAAATGGTTTCGGATTGAATTGAATTTTTGCAAGGATGATCTATGAACCGAGACTTACAAAATAGACGGTTCGGATCGTTAAAGTTCAATGTGAAGTGGGCCTCACACCTAATCTCCATTTTTTGAAAAAAATACGGATCCCTTTGCATAAAAGGCCTATATATATATATATATAGGAGTAGATTTGTGATACTACTAAGTTTGACTTTTTTTTTAGGCCCACTCCGTAATGTATTTTAATGAACCGAATCGTCTATCTTTTATAACGTCATTCATGGATCATGCTAGCAAAAATTAGACAAATCCAAAACCATTAAAACATTCGTTTGTAGTAAAGAAAATGGACGCATGTGTTCAACAAAGAAACCCTAAACCTTAATCCAACGGTTGAGTGATTTTTGGTATACATGATCTTTGAGGGAAAACTTAAAAGATAGACGGTTCGGATCATTGACTACATTACAAAATTAGCCCCACAAAAAACTTGCCTCAAATTTATGTAAAAAAAGTGGTGTCACGGATTCATTCATAATATTTATGTTTGTGGTATTATGGCGGGATTAAAATTTTAGAAAACTACCTCAAGTTTAGGACATTCAAAATTTCAAAGGGATAGGACATTACAACTCAAGACCCTAAAACTTGTCCTTGTATGGTCCATAGATTACAAAGTCCAGCTCTCCTGAGTCCATACCATTCAATGATGATGAGCTTAATGCTAAAAGCCCAAGCATAACAGAGGAACATGCGTGTTAGGTAGCTCTCTTTTCTCTTTTTCGTTTTGTTTTGTATTTTTCTGTTATTGGGTAGGGCTCTTTTTTTTTTTTTTTTAATGTTTTCTTTCTGTACATTTGGGTTGGGTTAGGATTTTCACAAAGAGATTAGCATTATCACAACGGACCCGGCGTGCTTATAAGGGAGTTTCGGAAATTTCAATACATATTCATGTGAGAACATATCTCCTAGAAAGTAGTTACAATTTTTAAATTAGAGGCATTTAGATGATATGTGTAACGATAAGATCACCTCAAACGCAAGTTATAACTAATCTTCCAATTTCAGTGAAATTCGAACTTTGTTCAAACTCTACAGAGAGAATTTAGGAAATTCAATTCCAAACAACGCTTATCGCCATAAGTTTTTATAAAACTAAAAATACACAACAAAAAAACATTGCTAAACTTGTGCAATTGTTGAAGCTAGGCTCTCTATTGTTCCAGAGAAAAGAATGGAGAGATTGATATTCATTTTGACCACATGTTTTATGTTGGCAAATTGTGCACGAATCCCTGATGTTGATCCACTATCGTATGCAGCATCACCGGAACCAAGCTCACCGGACGTACCAAAAACAGCAGGCTCACCAAGCGCAGATGGTTGTAACGATGTGATATTCGAAATTGCTGATTGCATTCCCTTTTTAAGCGATGGGAACACGAACACAAAGCCGGAAGGTTCGTGTTGTCCCGGATTGGAGATGGTGCTAAAAGCTAGTGATGGCTGCATATGTGAAGCCATAGAAAGTAGTGCTGATTTGGGTGTTCATATAAATATGACAAAGGCTATGACATTGCCTTCTGCTTGTGGAATCTCTGCACCTTCTTTTCTTAGTGAATGTAACAGTGAGTAATCTCATCTCTCACAAGTATTGCGCACTCTGATTAATTTTTTTATGAATTGAGAACATGTCGATGTATATTGAACGTCAAAATGTTTTCCTCTTTTGTTTTGCAGTCCCATTGCCTCCTGGTGCAAGTGCTCAGGGTATGTTCTAATTGTTTACTATATGTTTTAGTTTCACTTTTTTCCATATTTAAAAAAAAAAAAATCCTATACTTGATGAAATGGACCCTTGAATGACCATTCAATAGGTAAAAAATGGATGACAAAATGGTGATAAAAGTAATAAATCTTTCCTGTTAACTTAGATTTTTTTTTTCTTCGTATAGATACATTTTTATTATTATTTAGTAGAGTGATGTTTCTAGTTTATTTTTAATATTGGAAAAAAATGTCTGAGAGATGAGAAGATGATAGATGCGAACAAGAAAATAGAACTGTGAACTAAATTTATATTAGATTTATATATTCTCGTTATTTCATTATTGCATGTGTATCAAAGTTATGAGTGATTTAATATTTTTTGGGACAATTTAGCAACATAATATGTCAAAATCTAAGATTTGATCATTGCTCCAAATGTTAAATCTCAAATATCTTTCTGTTGCAGTACCCCACACACATGCTCCAAAATCATCACCAAAGAGTCAATCTCCAAAACCAAGCCAGGCACCAAGAAGTTCCGTTAATGTAGTTCCATCACCGGTCACTGCTCCACACGCCGGAACTTACTCAGTATCTGCATCTCTAGTGCTTACTCTTAGCATGCTTTCTGCATCATTCTACTGTATTTCATTTTAACTAAGCCGAAGTTTCATTGCTTGTTTTTATCATCCTACGCAATATTAGTCATGCTTGTAGTTTAGCTTGACTAGACTATGCTTGTTATATAGGGTTTTTATTTCTATTTAGTTTTGATTTCTAATTATTTTTTGTTTCCTTTTCATGAATGAATTAGCATCAATTTTTTTGTCCTTCAGAAGAAAAGCCGTACAGTAGTAATCATATAAGCTGTTCCAATCATATTTAGGTCTCATGAATATTTCTCTATTTGTATGTGAGAGGTCATATATGAATATCGCAAATACAAATTTATTCTTCCACTCTTATAGTGTAAATACATCGTCGTATTAAAAAATAATTAAATTCTCAGATTTCTTTAGGAAACTAACCATTCAGAAAAAAAAAATTAAAATAAAAACCGAGAAACCATGAATTTCTGTAATGACATAACAAGTAATCATTGGATGATCAAAATTGAAGAAAGATTAGGTGCAATTATTTTTGGTAACAGAAGTGAAGTGAGAAACCTAATTCCATGGTTTAGGTTTCCCTCCACCAACAAAAAGACCAAAAACTATTCTACTTTTAGGCTCGTCTTATGATATCGGCTAAAAAGATTTGGCCCACTAAAAAAAGAAAAAGGAACAATGTCTTGTTGAGGATTTGAGTGTATTTCCCAACCTCCAACTGCCAAGGCCAGACAAGATATGAGATCATTGTTAGAGTATATAGCCAAATAAGATAAGGCAGTTAGGATTGTTGCTAAGTGTGAGATTCATGTAAGGCAGTTAGCTCAATAATCTTCTATATAACTGTATCATTGGAACCATTGAATCAATCAAGAAAATACAAGTGAAAAATCATTCTCTTTCTCTCTCTAAGTTTCCTCTGTTTCTTCCTTCTTCTTCTATAATCTCTCTATTCTTTTCTTCCTACATAATGCTTAACATGGTATCAGAACCATTAAAGCTTGATCAGCTTCTTCGATCCTTTCTTTTGCTTCCGCTACACGAAATTCTTTCTTCTTCTATAAACATCTTCGTTGGGGACTTGGGCATGTAGGAACTGGAGCTTGAAGCCACTGGTGTTGGAGCGCACAATCTTCTCGAGCGTCCACTCGAACGTCTTCATGCTGCTATGTGGAGGCAATCTTTGAGGCCTCTTCAGCTAGTTTCCCAGGTGTAAGAACATTGGCAGTTCCAGATGCTAAGCAGAAGTTGTATTAGACTTCGTAGAAAGCCCCTCCGAAAAGGCAAGCACAATAGCAATGTCACTTGCTTGAGTAGCCTTTGATGCTACTGCTGCAGAATCTTTCTTTGATTCTTTGCTTCCATTAAAATTTCTTCGATTCTTTCTTCTTTGTTCTTTGGGTGTGTTTTCTCTGTTTTTCTGGGCATCTCCGATTGCCCATTTTTGCATTCTCCATTCAACAAAGTTTGGCACACTAGATGTTTGATCTTTTGCCTCAGTTAAATTTTTTCTGCGATTTCTCAACATGGTCGCTGCAAATTAGTTACAAATCTTGCAATCACCAATTACTGGCTTGATTTTTTCGATCTCTACATCCTTTTCGGTCAAGTTGGATGAGACCAATTACCTTCAATGGCACTTTCTGTTGCAGTTGATGCTTGAGGGCCATGACATTAAGGGATTCGTTGACGGATCAAATTTGTGTCCTCCTCAGTCTGCAGCAACCTCTGCACATTCTGTACTCACAAATGGGCCATCTGCTAGCCATGAATCAGATGAGTTTAAAGCATGGAAATCGCATGATTATGCTTTAATGTTGCTACTTACTGTAACTCTCTCTTCATTCGCTATTTCCTGTGTAATTGGTAGCAAGAGTTCTCGAGAAATGTGGGTTCGTCTTCAAAACCACTTTTTCTTAACAAGTACAAAAAATAGTATAATCAAGTTACAGAGTGATCTTTACAACATGAAGAAAGGATCCGATTTAGTTTCCCAATATCTTCGAAGGCTTAAAGAAGCAAGGGATGGACTTTCTGTTCTTGGTGTCACATTTGATGATGAAGACTTTGTGATCATTGCATTGAATGGACTGCTTGCAAAATACAACACATTTAAGTCTGTAATTCGAGGGCGTGATAGTATCATTTCACTCAAGGACTTTTGCGCACAATTGCTCGCTGAGGAAGCCATTGTGGATTGTGCTCTTGTTGAATGTGAGACCAAAGGTTCTTTCTTTCCTCTCTTTAGCTCTCAATTTCATGCTGGCTTCAATGGTGTGGATCATGATCAATTCAATTTAAGTTCATGTTAGTTAAGCTAGGGCAGTAATGTTGATAGTTATAATGGAATTCTTGGTTCATCTCCATCTACATATCCTAGTTCTCTGCCACCTGAAATTACTACATGTCAAATTTATTCACATAAGGATCATCTTGCCGCCCATTGTTCTGCTCAAACTACTAACTCATCTATTACACAAGATCCAAACTTGCAGGATCAGGTTCGATTTTTTGATTCAATGGAATCAATTGAGACAAACTTTGTTATGGTCAATTCTTTCTCTCATTACCTTGAATCTTCCTTGCCATTTAATTCCACAAGGGAAATTCTATCAGTGCTTCAAAGCAGAACGATTGTGATACAACAATTATAATGAAAACCGAAGAGCAGCCACCTAGTTCTGTTGGTGCAGAAAGTTCACAAACTTGCATATTACAACAAATATGTTCACAGAAAGATCATTTTGATGATGATTGTTATCACATACATAATGCTCAATCTTCAGTTTCAACCCCTGAATTATGTCAAAGCACATTGGGTCAACAACTAAAAATAGTGTGTCCAATCATCCTGGGAAATCATGAAACACCTTTACAAAGCAATTCTAATGTTGAAATTCATACAGCTTATGATTGCCAATCTGGTTTTCTCTCTCACTTCATTGTTTCAGAAGATGAAATGTTTTTAGATGATGCAGAAAAACAAGTTTTGGAATGTATTGACAAGGAAAGTGCATACTCTCAGTTGATTTCAGTGGGTTCGTGTATTCAAGTGACATTTCCAACTCTTAACTCTGACAACAAGGCAAAAATTGGTGTTCTTACTCAAACTTTGGTACATGAGTTCCGGGGATTTTATGTACTTCGGTTATGCAATGGTGGAAGTATATTTGATATTCAGTTAGGATACCATATGAGAATTTTTGATAAGGGTGGGGGCACCAAGTCTACGCTGGTTACTATGGTATACACGGTATAATGGTAAAATACAAAGATTGTTCAGCCACAAGCTTCAAGAAGGATCCCAATTGATCTGGTCCGGAGATGACACATGGGAAATCTTGGAATATTTTGCTATAGCTATTACAATTGTAGCTATTGCTGTTCCAGAAGGTTTGCTTTTGGCTTTGACATTGAGTCTTGCTTTTGCCATTAAGAAGATGATGAACGATAAGGCACTAGTCAGGCATTTGGCCGCTTGTGAGACAATGGGATCAGCCACAACTATCAGCAGTGAAGAGATACTCTACTATCTAATTGCAACAATCTCATGCTTGAACCACCATGAGCTTGCGGGGGGATGTTAGAGTATATAGCCAAATAAGATAAGGCAGTTAGGATTGTTGTTAAGTGTGAGATTCAGGTAAGGCAGTTAGCTCAGTAATCTTCTATATAACTATATCATTGGAACTATTGAATCAATCAAGAAAATACAAGTGAAAAATTATTCTCTTTCTCTCTCTAAGTTTCCTCTGTTTCTTCCTTCTTCTTCTATAATCTCTCTGTTCTTTTCTTCCTGCATAATGCTTAACAATCATCACTAGCTTCTTCTAATCATCAAAACATGCAGCAAATAGAAAAATGCTAGTCGCGCCAATTAGTTATTAGTAATTAGTTTAGCATCTGTTTGCATGAATATGAACGATTGTTACTAATTTTTATATCAGTTAACTATTATTGATATAAGAACACGATTTTTCCATTTCAAATCAAACAAAAACACTTGTACAAAAATAACATTTGTATTTATGAAAGCCTTGTTACTTTCAGTGTGTATCCTCATTATGTTGAGGCAGTACCAGTAGCAATAGCATGTTTGGAAGGGTTGCGCTTAGTTAAAACACTACAAATGGACCATGTTCTCTTTGAAAGTGACTCCATTTCACTGGTCAAGGCCCTTAACAGTCGGCACCACGACACTTTAGTATTGAGAAGATTAACTGATGCTTGTGTAGTGTTAAACCAATTTTTATGGGAATGGTTTACCTATATTTGTCGAGATGTCAATGTTGTGGCACAAAGATTAGCTCATTTTGCTTTTTTTCTCTCTCTTGATAATGCTATCTTTTGGATTTGGAATTCTCCGAATATTATAGAGGATGCACTACTAGTTGATTCTACGTACTATTAAGTTTTTCAACTAATAGATTTCGCCATTTATAAAAAAAAAAAAATTTGTTACAATTTATGTGGTTTACTCTTTTATAAGAATGCTTTTTTCTAGTTCAATCAGTCTTGGGTTTGATTCAGTGGTGACAAACACTTTTTTTTTTCTTGACTTGAATCACAATCACTTTGAACACATCGGTATCATGAGAAGTGTGAAGTGGTGAGTAACCTTCGGATTTGGTATTGATTCTCCATAAACTTAGTGAAAGAACCTAAATGAAATTGGGCAGCTAGGTAGCCACTTATTATGTTTATTCTTGTTATATCCCTTCTTGATGCAAAAACAAAGTGAAAGAATTTTCTTCTTTGTTCAAATTTCAATGTCTACGCTGTCCAACAAATAACATCATCTATCACTTATCGGCAGATCAATAAAATATTATTACAACTTTAGAAGTTGGGACCAGTTCTAAAATTTATAAACAAATAGCATCAGCTATCATGGACTTCAAGGGACGGAAGCTGCGACGTCTTTTTTTAATTCTCTAGAAAAGAAAAAAAAAGAGCAAAAAAATAGAGATTAGATTTTGGAGTTAGGTTGAATATCGTAGGAGGTAGCTGACCAGGAACACAAAAATAGGTCGATAACGAAAATTTGAGGGTTTTTAAGCTAATCTACGTCAAAGACAACTCGAGTTCAGATATATAAGAACAGAAAGTCGACAGAAAAACTGAGTTAATCAACTGCCTTAATCGAAAACAGGAGAAGCTTCCTATTTTTAATGCG